TGCATATACACATATGTATAAACATATATATCTATATATATATATATCCTGCATATGAGGTTATGTATATGCATACGCATAACGATATACATACGTATATGTAGATGTTCAACCACGTTGAAAGGGCGGCTCTGCAATACGTCGCACCATCGGTGCCCACATGACATGTTACTGATACGTAGAATCCACAAGCGCACCTTCAGCACACAATGGACTGATCCAGAAATCGAGTCCGCCGCCCACCGCCTGCTGGGGGTGACAGAGCGTGTGAAACATTTGGCTGTCCTCCTCCCCCCCCTCCTCCTCCTCCTCCTCCTCCTTCTCCTCCATCCTCCTCCTCCTCCTCCTTCCTCCTCTCCTCCTCCTCCTCCTCCTCCTCCTCCTCCTCCTCCTCCTCCTCCTCCTCCTCCTCCTCCTCCTCCTCCTCCTCCTCCTCCCCTCCTCCTCCTCCTCCTCCTCTCCTCCTCCGCCTCCTCCATCCTCCCTCCTCCTCCTCCCTCCTCCTCCTCCCTCCATCCTCCTCCTCCTCCTCCTCCTCCCCCTCCTCCTCCCCCTCCCCCTCCCCCTCCCCCTCCCCTCCCCCTCCTCCTCCCTCCTCCTCCTCCTCCTCCTCCTCCTCCTCCTCCTCCTCCTCCTCCTCCTCCTCCTCCTCCTCCTCCTCCTCCTCCTCCTCCTCCTCCTCCTCCTCCTCCTTCTCCTCCTCCCCCCCCCCTTTCCTCCCTCCCCATAGGTCCAAGATTGCGCTTGAAGGGAGGGGCTCCCCAACGCGGGGGAGGGGGGAGGTCCAAGGGCTCCTCGACGCACCCCTGGGGCCTCCGGAGCCTGCAAATCCATCCCTCGTGGCCGCCAAGATCCCAATCTGCGTTCTGAGATTGCTGCAGAAGAGCCCCAATACGACGGAGAGGCCTCAAGAGCACCTGAGATGGTCTCAAGACGACGGAAGACGCCGAAAGAGAGCCCCGAGAGGACCCCCCCAGAGGGCCTCAAGAGAAGAGGCAAACAGCGTTGATTACCCATCAGTGTTCCCTGATGCTCGCGTTCTCGGCTCTGTGGCGTCTGCAGGCTGAAGACGGCCTAGGAGGCCCCCCAGACGAGCCCAAGCCGGCCCAAGAGACCCTCAAAGCGGCCGAGAGACGGCAGAGGAAGGCCCCAAGACGGCCCAAGAGGCCCCCAAGACGGCAAAGGCCCCGAAAATGGACCCCGAAAACCCCTGGAGCCTCGACATAGCTCCAAGAGGCAAGCAGCCACCTGGGCCGCCGGCAGGCCCCCCGAAGATGCCCCCATAAACTCAGGGAGGCTCCGAAGCTGCGCAAACGAAACCCCCCAAAGCCTCCCGAGAATCCCCAAAGACACCCCCCAAGCGGCACGACGGGGGCCTCAAACAGAGCCTGGACAACAGATCAAACCGTCCCCGTTGTCCTCGAGATCCCTCCTCCTTTTCCTCCGGCGCCCACGCCCACGAAGCAGCCGGCGGGCGCCCAGGAAGATTCCCGGACGAGGCTCCAAGACACCCAGAAAACGGCCTCCCTTCGTCGGGGGGTCGGCGGCACGGCGCAAGCCTCTTTAAATCGTCGGAGGTCAGATGGGATCTCTTAGATCGGCGGACCCTCCTCCCTCCATGGCGCGCGGTGCGCGCCAGTATCCGGCGCCGATCCATGAGAGCGGGGACCTCTGCAGGATTATGGTTATGCAGCTGTGTCGTCTTCGAGCAGGCTCACGCAGCTGCGAGTGCTAACCTTGAGAAGTCTTGAGAATCCCCCCATAGGGGGTGACTAATCATTTTCTCGGCGGCCTCATTGAAGGACGACTGGGGTCCCACCAATAGGAGGTGACTAATTATTTGTTCCCGTGGCACGTGGAGGAGCGGGAGGAGCGAGGAGGAAGAGGAGCAGGAGGAGGAGGAAGGAGGAGGAGGAGGGGGAGCGGGGGGAGGAGGAGGAGGAGGAAGCGGTCTTATAGGACGAGTCCTGGCCACCGCCGAGTGCAAAGGCGGGGGGGGGGGCCCAGACTTTTTACATACTTCTAGAGGTCAGAGAGACTGCAGGCTCCTCGGACAGAACCCGACCCCCGAGCCGGGAGCCGCGCCCGCGCTGGGCGCAGGGCCGCTTCTCACCGCCCGTGGGCCCCGCGGCGGGCGCCGGGGGCGCCGAGCCGTGCCCGCTCCCGGAGGCGGGGCCTCCGCCCGTCTCCGCGGGGAGCCGGCCCCGCCGGGGCAGCGCGGCCGGCCCTGCGAGGGCAGGTGCCCCACGGCGTGCGCCCTCGGGCGCCCTGCGGCCGGCGCCCTCTGTGGCTGGCACCCGCGGGGGGGGGCTCCCATCCGCCGCTCGAACGAGCCGCACGCGCCGGCCTCTGCTCACAGCCGCGGGCGCGCGCGCCCGCCGCCGCGCCCGCGGCCGGCGGCCTCGGCGAGCAGCTGGCCCCGCGGGGGGCGGTGGGCCCTTCGCGAGCGGGTGCCCGTGTTTCGCGCCCGCGGGTGCCCTGCGAGGCTGGTGCCCTCTGG